TAGTTCAATCAAATGATAAATAATAAACAAAAACATTGAGTAGGATGTCAACTCAATGCCAGTAATAGAATAAAAATATCTCATTGTATAATTGCCGAAAAGATTTTTTATTCAGATAATATATAAAGCATTAACTACTAGTTTTTTTATTTATTTTTATTGACTTTATAAAAGAAATACATTCATTTAGTTTATTCATTAAAACTGATTACACTTTTGATTTTATTACTTATTCTGCTCAATATATTCAATGGATCATTTCAGATTTTTACTTTTGTCTCGAAAAAGTCTGTATAAACGTTCTGTATAAATTCATGTTATATCAATAATAGAATCCAATATTTAGAGTTTGAAGTTGATATTTTTTATATGTCATGTTTTGAAATCAAGTACACAATTTTCTTTTTTTTTTGTTTTATATTTCAAAACAGGAAGAAACTAAATTCAAAATTTTTCTTTTATATATATATATCTATTTTTTTTTTCGGAAAAATATAGAGTCAATCGTTGCAGATTGACTGCTCGTAAAGATCTACTTAATAATAAAAATAATGTAGTCTTTCATTCTTCGATCGATCTACTCTTGAAACTCAAATATCCGTTTTATCTTAACAAGATTTTTCAAATCCATTGATTATTTTTCTTTTCTTTTCAAAAAACTAATCAATTTTATCCACGTCACTTAAGAAATAATAATATATTGTTATATATAAGAGAAACTAGCACGATAAACAATATTTAGTACTAACCAGAAGCGTTCCATATAACAAATATTAGCCCTAAGGTAAAATGTTTTCTAAAAAAACACCTATGTCAAGTTGTACATCTTATACGACAATGGGACAAATTTCATTGACTATTTTCAAACAATAGTCTTAATAAGAATATGTGTTTTTTCATAGCATAACTCTAACTTTCATATAATAAATTGAGATGAAATGCAGAATGATTTTTGTTCTTTACAAAAAACAGACATGATGTATGTATATAAATTTCTCTAATCTTCTTTGAAAAAAATACTCTTAACCCTTTGTTGATGGAAGAGGATTACGATCACAAAAATGCTTGTTAAATCTTACACAGAACATACTGAGTTTTATGCACGCTATTCTTCCTTATGACTCTATAAACCTTTCAGTTAAAACTTAATTTTACCTGGTACAAAAGTTGCTTTATTCAGTATACGATGTTGATAATCACGAAAATTCTCTTCAACGTTCTAAATAATAGCGTACATGTTGTATAAAGAAATCTAGATACTATGGGACAGACTTACATCTGCTTCTTTATCTAATTCAAGCATTCTTAATTTAGCATCTTCAATAAAGTGATTATAATTCGAAGATACTGTTGATGGATGATAATCTTCGGATTGAACTAAAACATGATTTAAATCGAGGTTTTTAAACCTTAAAGGATAAAAACAATTTGATATTCAATTTACAGTTGTATATATCAGAGAGCACGAACTTATCATTTATTGTTTCCGGGCCTCCTTGCGTTTGTAATAGTGCAATTTGTGTTTTAAGATCGATTAATTCGTCATTCATAGCTCGTTGTTCCACTAATTGAGAACTAAATACGTTTTTCAACTGATCAGATAGAATACGCTAAAAAAATAACAGAAAAAGTCGACAATACGAACAAAAATATTTCACATGTGAGAATCGTTTAGTTAGAGAAAATATTGCATTTCAATTATTGAATTGAGTGTAATACGACAAAAGATTCCAATCGAATCCATGTCGGATCCTGTATGGAATTTTGCCGGAATCTGATAAATTTCGATGCAATTGAATCTGCATGGTAAGAGTTTCAATAGTTGAAATAATTGACCTGGGAACATAAAGGTTATCGGTCTGAACTGCTTCTATTGTACCTTAGACATTTTTCTTCGGTAGAAAAGTATACATACAAGATCGAATAGTTGCAAGCGACAGATATATTTCGGTCTAGAAAAAACGAGTATAAATTCAAAACTCCATGATAACATACAGAATCTGATTTTCTCGGTGTTGGTGATATCGATCTTTCATCATTGCTACTGTCGTTATTATAACGATCTATAGAATAGACAGAAAACAAAATAAATTCCTCAAACATATTTTAATAATCACATACAACGTACGTCTATGTGATTTTTGAGAACGACTAAATTTGAAAAGAAAATTCTCGATTAACCACGTAAATGTAACATTTTTACATATCAACATACTTTGTTGTATTGCCCATTTGTGATTTTAATATAGCATTCTCTTCTCGAATTGAAAAATAATCAACAGACTGGCGTAATAAAAAAAAACAAGTAAAAAGTCATATTTATAGTTTTATGTTAAAAATTAGATATAAATACTTGTTTTGCTTTCTCTTTCAATATTTCATTTTCATTCCTTGATATTTTTAATTCACTTTGAAGTTTGTAAATTGTTGACTAAAATCCAGATCATAATGGAAAAGCTTTGGTAAAGTAAAACTCAATTTCACTGATATATACGTACATCTACTTGTGATAATTGTTTTCTACATTGTGTCAGTTCCATTTTAGATTGTTCACAAATTAACCTTTCTTCTGCTAAACGTTTTGATTCTTCTACACGAAAAAGAGAAAACTATTATATATATATATATATGAAAGTAGCATTCGATTCTTATATGCTTAGCGAGGCAACGGGGAAAAAAAAGTCACTACGTTTGTATTAAATATTACCTTGGTTTTTAATTTCTAATATTTGTAAACTTTTATTTCGTTCCATTAATTGTTGTTCAATTTCAAATCTTAATCTAAAAAACAAAAATTAAAACATAAACATGTTTCTCTTTCATGTGGTAAAAATTGATTTTCTCGATATGGATAAATAAACAACGATAGAGATACAGAGCTTACTTGCTTAGCTTTGTTTGTACTTGTTGATCGATAAAAATTTCGGTATTTTTTAAAATTGATTCTCGTTTACTCATATCGGCTTCTAAACGTTTTATACGATCAGCTTCTAACGTAATAGCTCTATAAAATACAAAGATAAACACGATATTAAAAATCAAAAAATTTAATTATTCATTTCTCTCCTATAAATGTCTTTAAGAAAATTTTGATTAATTTTAATAAAGATCCATAACTTTTTAAGAAAATTTTATGTGCAATTGAAATGAATGCTATCTTGAACCAATGACTTACCTTTCTCTTAATTCTAAATCTCTTTGAAATTCTGTCTCTCTTAATTTCATGGATTTTAATTCATCCAAAAATGTTTGACGCTGTACATATAAATCGCGTTTTTCACCCTGAATGTGCACAAAAAATAACAGTGATTTATTCTTGAACAGGCAAGATGAAAACAAAATATTTCTTCAAATTGTAAATGCGTACCTCTAATTCAGCTTTATATCTGTCACTAATTCTTAATTCTTTTTCCGATAATGTTTCGTGTTTCGATTGATAAGCGTGTTCCAGCTAAAAACAGATATAGAAAGCTCAGTGAAAGGAAGAACTTATTGTCTAAAACTTAAATACTTCTTTTTTTAGTGATTGTAGCTCCATCTGACATTTAAGACGTTCTTCTTGATGAATTTTCTTTATTTCATTTAAACGAAATTGATCTACCTTGAAAACAAAAAGCATAGTTTATTGATTTAATTCTACAATAAGACGATAAATTAGACTTACCTGTTGTTTAAACTCATCTTGTAATTTTTGTTCAATTCTTTTTTGAAATAGTAATAATTTTTCTTCTGTTGACAGATGCTTTGTTTCATCTTGTTGACGAGAATTATACATTAGATCCAGTGTCGACAACTTTTCGTCTAAAAATAATCCGTTTAATAAAAGTGTATGCCTCGAAAAAAATCAAAAGAAGTTATCAGCATATAACAGATGCAACTATTCAAAAGATTCATTTCTACAATACTATGAGAAAAGTGACATATCTTGAAAATTATTCTCACGACGAAGCATTATCTTTTCAAATCAACATTAGTTCAAGAAGTTTCTGTATTATATGAGATTTTTTTGCAACGTGGATTCATACACTCATTCATTCATTACAAGATTCATTCAGAGTTGCCACTTAACGAGCCACAATCAACATCGAGAAGACTGAAAAAGCGGAAAAACGTGTTGATTATGGTATCTCAGGTAGCAACTCTGGTCATTCAGTCAGAAAACAAATATATAAAATAACATTCGCTTCTGATAGCATTTCCAAATATATTGACCCGAACAAAATATATTTTGGCTTTTGTTCTTCTAGTTTCCCACAGACTCATTTGCAAAAAAGCGCTTTTATGAAGAGATTTCAGACGCCAGTAGGTCATTTCATTGATATTAAGTTCATAAGTGTAAGTATCCTAATGATAGTATTAAAACGTCAGTACTAACGAGGGAACGTTTTCGGATGACAAATCGCTTTTCATATAAAAAACATATGGTTATAGGTAATCGATGGTGCGAATAACATAGTTTAACAGAGTCCGAATAACATAGTGGAAACTATTAATGTCAATACGTTTTTAGAACTATCGGACATTTCCCGGCAGCGCTATTAAGCTATTTTAGTCTGCATTCACCTTCTTCGATAACGACACATTTTAGAAACTTAATAGCGCTGTCAGGAAATGTTCGATAGGTCTAAAAAGTTAGTTACATAAATAACTCGACATGCTCTACAACCTACACAGATTAGAAAGTCATTTTGACAAAAAAACATTTCGGTTGGAAACCGTTTTTCTGGAAACTAGGTCTCCGAAGCCATAAGAGTAGCTCCCACTATGAAATCATCGGAATCAGCACCATCAATCACCTATAACCATATGAGTTTTATACCAAAAGCGATTTGTCACCTGGAAACGTTCCCTCGTAAGTGAATGCTTAAAACAAAAATATCACGATCGCTTAAACGTTTCAACATCAGTCTTTATATGACATACTCGATTTAGTAATCAGGAACTCATAAGCACTCAAGATAGTACGTACTAAGACGCAAATTTTGAGTTGTTGAACACTTACTTAGGAATACATTCACCGTGGTAAACATATTTCTGCCATAGCGAGTCGACTGCAAGCATTACTTTATTGAGTCTTTCTACTTGGCATGAATATATTTTCTAACTTAAGCACGCGTTCAATAGAGTTAAAACAATTTAAGTTAGAAACCAGACACTTAAGAATATTGATGACATGGTCTTCTGTTCGATGATTAGCACGTCCAAGGCTGGATGCGAGAAGTCTTTCAACATACTTGGACTCAAAAGTAGTACTTGTTCATATCTGCTTTTGTTGAGCGATGGAAATACTAGATTAGTTTTAGTTTTTAGTCAGCACTTATGTTTACCTCCTGATATAATCGATATGTTCACTTTATGTTTTGTTATGTATGGGGGGACTCACAGCTTTCGAGCTCAAAACCCCCTTTTGAACTGTGAATATTTTCATTCAATATGCCTAAAACAGTATAGTTCAGAAATAGAACCTTGTCTGCAACTCAGCAGTTCTTTTGTCTATCAAGAAAGAAAATACCTGCCCTATAGTTAAGTGAGAAGAAAAACAAAGCTCCGTAGTATGGTTTCTCTCATCGTTGTGGACTGACAAAGTACTTCCAGTTTACTTAGTAATTCATTAGCAGTTAACCAATCGATCAGTGGCGTTAGCTTAATAAAAAAAAGTGCATCCATCTGTCGATGGGTTCTCTCTTCTTCTCTCAAACGACTTTTATGCAGACGTTTTCCACTGCTTTGTCTATATACACTGGCATTTTTCGAGAAAAAACATTCAGCACTCCATTCTGCCTGGTTTCTTAAATGACAAATAGAGTGTACGTTGAATATTACCAATATCGATGTACTTTATCATTATGAACACTGCAACAAGTTTCATATTGTGTTCTATATAACTCACCTAACGTATTCCCAGCAACAGATCCTGTCCATAGATCGTAACTTGTTTGACAACTTGTTGATTGTGTTGAGTTGGGTAAATAGGAATATATCGACGATATGAAGGTTAATAATAAATTATTCTTATTTTCAGAAGCAAGCAAATCTGATTTCTAATCAATAACAAACAAAATTATTCTAATTATTCATTAATTACCGTTTTTTACACTTACAATCTTCTTATAAAAAGCTGACTCTTTTGATATATTTAATAGTTGAAATATTTCATCGTTTGACATTGACTAAAGCCCCAAAAAGTCACATCTAATTGTAGCACTGAGTAAAAGACTTTACATACTTTGTAGTCATTTAATTGCGCCTCTGGGATGAATACACTAGTTGTATAATCGTAATTACATATTTTCAAGTGTTCAACAATTAATGTGTTTACGGCTCGAACCAAGACAGAGGGACCAGATACACTTGCGGGTCGAAATTGATCAACTCTACGAAGTTCATCAATCAAGCCTTTACGTAAATTAGACTGAAATAAGAAATAAATTATTTTTTTGATTCGTATCATATGGTCAAAATGACCTCGTGAAAAGGGTAAAAGTAACGCTTTAAAGTATAAAACTCAGATTGCCTCCCTAGTAAATGTACTCAAGTGTGAGTACTCAGAGTGGTACTCTGCTGAAAAATGTCCCGAGTACTCATGAGTACTCACACATTTTTTTACTCATTGGGTACTCACATGAGTACTCATGAGTAAGTAACGAGTATTGTGAGTACGACTTTGAGTACTTATGCTTGAGTATCGTTGAGTACTCATATAACTTTTGACAAAATACTCATGAATATTGTTTATCCGATATTTTCATGTAGAGGAGTGATCTCAGCCAGTCAGAATAGGACTACAAGTCCAGCATAGACGAGTCCATCCCTGACTATATACAGAGAGACCAGTGAGGAAATAATAATATAAATATTCTATGTTTCTTCACTAAATTCCACGTTCTTTTATACAGTTTCAGTTTAGCAAAATAAAACGGTTAATGAATATTCTCTGAGTACTCACTGAGTAAAAATACTCAAAAACTGTTAGTAGTACTAATATGAGTACTCATGGACGAATTATGAGTAAAGTTGTACTCATCATATGAGTACTTTCACTAGGGCTATGTAAAAAAAGGGTTATCACAAAGTTTTGATTAACCCATTGTGACGATTCTTGGTCACGATCTCTCCATTCAGTACGTACTTCTTTCGGTAGAGCTACTCTCTTTTGTTCCGTTCTGTTCGTTGTCTGTTTTTGTCCTTTCCTCGCTTTGTTCTTTTGTTGTTCTTATCTTTTGTACATGCAGGACTAAATATATATATTACTGTTTTTCTTCTGTTAGAGTTAGTTTTTTGTAGTTTGTGATAAAGAGTAGTCGGATAATAGAGTAATACTACATATCTTAACGCACGCATACAATCAACTCAAGGACTTATAATTAG